GTATAGGGTTTCCTGCCTGAGCAGGGGGTTGGACTAGATGACCTCCAAGGTCCCTTCCAACTGTGCTGTACTCTTATTTACTCCTGTAAACGGCTTGCCTCCAGACGTCGTGGGCGCTCCAACACGGCAGGTTTTTAAGAAGAGATTGGACAGTCATTTGTCTGAAATGGTGTAAGGCTTCCTGCTCAACCGGGGGTTGGACTAGAAGACCTCCGAGGTCCCTTCCAGCTCTGTTATTCTGATTTAGGCCAAGAGGGAGACATATTATCCAGATCTATGCAAGAATTAAGGAGAAATTTCCTAACAGTGAGAACAATCAATGGAATAACTTGGCCTCCAAAAGTTGTAGGTGCTCCATCACTGGAAGTTTTTTAAGAAAAGACTGGACAGTCACTTGTCTGAAATGGTATAGTGCCGTGATGGCGAACCTATGGCACACGTGCCACAGGTGGCACGTGTAGCCATATCAATGGGCATGCCAGCTCAGCTCCGGCACGCATGCACGTGCCAGCCAGCTGATTTCCGGGCCTTCTGGGCCCACCAGAAGTACGGAAACAGGCTGTTTCCTGACATGGGGGGGTGGGGAAGGCCTGTTTTTCTTCTCACCTGGCTCCAGATCCTCTCTATGCATCTGGGGAGGGCGAAAACAGCCTTCCCCACCCCCTTGGAGGCCCGAAACGGCCCGTTTCCCAACTTCTGATTGGACAGGAAGTGACTTTTTTTGCTGTCCCCAGCCTCCAGAGACTCCTAGAGAGGAGGGACAGCAAAAAATGTCACTCCCTGTCCAACCAGAAGCTGGGAAATGGGCCGTTTTGGGGATCTGGAGGACCTCCGAGAGGGTGGGGAAGGCTGTTTTCGCCCTCCCCAGTTGCATAGAGAGGATCTGGAGCCAGGTGAGAAAGAAAAACGGGCCTACCGGGCCATCGTGTGCCAGGAGCAGGGGAGGGCACATGCGCAGGGCGGGGCACATAGAATTATGGGTGTGGGCATGCACACATGTAAACCTCCCCACCACCACCCCTCCTGGCACACGATGGCAAAAAGGCTAGCCATCACTGGTATAGGATCTCCTGTTTCAGCAGGGGGTTGGACGAGAACAGGAGTCTGCAACCTTAAATATTCAAAGAACCATTTGGGCCCATTTCCCACAGAAAAGAAGACATCGGGAGCCACAAAACCTGGGTGGGTGTGGCCAACTTGACATCACTCACTTCTACTAGTCACATGACACACACCCCAGCCACGCCTACCCAGCCAGTCATTAAGACAGAGAACCAGTTGTTGAAAAACACCGGGAATCCCAAAACTTTTGATCTCTCTCTCTCTCTCTCTCTCTCTCTCTCTCTCTCTCTCTCTCTCTCTCTCCCTCCCTCCCTCCCTCCCTCCCTCCCCCCAATCTCTGTATCTCTCTATGTCTGTCTGTCTCCCACTCTCTCTCTATCTCTCTGTCTCTGCCCTGGCTGCTTCTCCATCCCCCGCTGTCGCCCTTACCTTCTCAGGCCAGGCAAAGAGTGACTTGGATGAGAGGGAGAACGACGGGGCGAGCTAGTGGTGAGATCACTTGACATGGAGCCACAGCAGTGGGCCCAAAGAGCCACATGTGGCTCTGGAGCCGCAGGTTGCTGACACTTAGACCTGAAGACCTTCCAAGGTCCTTTTCAACTCTGTCATTCCGTTAATTAACCAGTGGAACAGCTTGCCACCAGAAGTTGTGGGTTCTCCATCACTGGAGGCTTTTCAGAAAAGACCCGACCGACACTTGTTCGAAATGGTTTAGAGCAGAGGTGGTATTCAGCCGGTTTAGACTGCTTCATCTGAACTGGTAGCGGAAATTGTGAGTAGGCCACGCCCATCCGCCCTGGCCTTATGCCATCCTATTTAGGCAGCGTTTTTGAGGCCGGGTGCATGCACAGAAGGCCGGGCACATGGTCACATTTGCGAACCGGTAGGGAAAGTAAGTGAATACTACCCCTGGTTTAGAGTCTCTTGCTTTAACACGGGGTTGGACTAGAAGACCTCTAAGATCCCTTCCCGCTCTACTCTATTGATTGATTGATTTTCCACCCAGTTCTGGAGGCTCCGCAGAAGGATGGTGCCCGGTGCGAAACCCCCCACTATTACCGGAGTTATTGACAACTTCCATTAAACTCCCATTAACCCCTGACGCTTGTAGCCTTCTGAAGCCCAAACTCCGAACGCCTGTCATTTTCGACAGGGATTGTGCAAACAACACTCGGTCACCACTCCCGAGCAGATGGTACTTTGTCACCCAACATTATGAAACTGAAGTTATTAAAAACCATTTACAGCCTCGGGGCAGGAAGGGGAGACGGAAGAATCAATGACTGTCAAATAGAAACGGACGGGAATTGGTGACGGGGGGAAAAAACAGAAATGAGATTTTTTTTCCCCCCCCCGCCCCCCCCCCGCTCTCTTTCCAATCCGTCAAAAGAAATCCGCGAGAATCAAAAACTTCAACCAGCCAAAGCGGTCTCTCGGGATAGTCCCTTTAAATTTAAAAGTTCTCCACTTGGAAACATCCAACCAGGAATTCCTGGACCGTTCATCCTCGAGTTATGACCACCGTGGAGCCCAAAGTTTCCGTGGCTATGAGAAACAGTTGTTAAATGAGCTTTGCCCCATTTTACGCACTTTCTGGCCGCCGTTTAAGTGAATCGCGGCAGTTGTTAAAAAGTTAAGTCACACGTCTGGTAAGTGAATCTGACTTCCCCGTGGACTTTGCTTGTCAGACCACAGTGGAGCCTAAAATTTCTGTTTCCAAAGCGAGACAGTTGTTAAGTGAGTTTTGTTCTGTTTTAAGACTTTTCTCGCCTGAGTTGTTAAGTGAATCACTGCGGTGGTTCAATTAGTCACACGGTTGTTCAGTGAAACCGGCTTCCCCATGGACTTGGCTTGTCAGAAGGTCGCAAAAGGGGATCATTTGACCCCAGGACATTGCAACCGTCATAAATGCGAGTCAAACATCTGAATTTTGATCATGGGACTGCGGGGATTATTTATTGATTTATATTTCATTATTTCTTAACTCTCCATCTCCCTCCGAGACACACCCTGGGTGCAATGATGAAATCCATTTTCTTTTACTACCGGTTCTATGGGCGTGGCTTGGTGGGCAGGGTGTGGCTTGATGGGTGTGGCTTGGTGGGCGTGGCAGGGGAAGGATACTGCAAAATCCCCATTGCCACCCCACTCCTGGGGCCAGCCTGAGGTGGTATTTGCCGGTTCTCCGAACAGCTCAAAATTTCCGCAACCGGTTCTCCAGAACCTGTCAGAACCTGCTGGATTTCACCCCTGCCTGGGCAGCCTACAATATTCCCCACTAAAATGAGAACACTGAAATCAGAATAATTTGGGACTGAAAGTTTTAAAACCCATCAAAACAACATTGTAAAAATTTCCTGGAGTTGAGGAATTCCAAAACGGGGAATTAGCTGTGTTAATACAGGTGGAGGGAGGTTCCCGTGGGCCCAGCCATATGGGCCTCGGTGTCCCCTGTGCAAGACTGATTGATTTGTCTGTCTTTCTGCTGTGTTTCTTAGTTATTCTTCCGCCTTGATTTCCCCATAAATATCCCCGTTATCTATTCCCGGGTCTATAACCCACTTTAATCAGGGTCTAAATTGCAAAGTGATGGATCTGTACATTCATCAGACACTTCCTTCCACCTCTTCTGTCAAACAGCTTTATAAACCCAACTTCGCCCTCATTAGCTCCCTTAAAGAGAAATGCGTGACATTTTAATTTAATAAATTACCCAGATGCCTTTATAAAAACTTGGCCTTTCCGCTTTATTTGCTGTACGTCTCGGCTCACATCTGGCCCAGACGTTGACAGATGTGCTTCAAAGGTTTTCAAGAACATTACCCTTTCATTTGGGCTTTTTGCTGCCAAGTAGCAAAATGTTGGAGTGAAAATCTGGGTGGCAAAGACGACGGTTTTTTTTTGGGGGTGGGGTGCAGTTTTCATCTCTGTTGTAAGCATATAAAGCCAGAAACTTTCCCTACATCCCTTGCATACCTCTCTCTTTCTTTCCATACAGGGGGTCCTTGGCTTACAACCACAACGGAGTCCAAAATTTATGTCGCTAAGTAAGGTGGCACTTAAGGGAGAGTTTTGCCCCAATTTTACAACTTGCCTTGCCGCTCTTGTTAAGGGAATCGCTGCAACTGTTAAGTCAGGAATGTGGTCATTAAATGAATCTGGCTTCCCCGTTGACTTTGCTCATCCGGAAGGTCGCAAAAGGGGATCATGTGACCTTGGGGACGCCATGACTGTCGTAAATATGAGTCAGTTGCCAAACATCTGCATTTTGATCACATGACCCTGGAGATGCTGCAACGGTTGGAAGTGTTAAAAATGGACATAAGCAGTGGTGGGATTCAGCCAGTTTGCACCTATTCGGGAGAACCGGTTGTTAACTTTCTAAGCAGTTCGGAGAACCAGTTGTTGGAAGAAATTTTATTTTATTTTTTTCCCACTTCACAGGGCTAATCCTGTAAGGAAGGCAGGAAGGAAGCATTCTGGTGGTATTTCTAGCCTAATCTTTATTGCCCTGCTTACAGAAACTGCCTCTCTGGTTAACCCTTATTACATTGTAACAGTGAGTGAGGTTGAGTTGGCCACGCCAACACGGTCACATCACCACTGAGCCACGTCTACCTGGCTGGTCATTAGGGCAGAGAACCGGTTGTTCCCACCGCTGGACATAAGCCACTTGTTTTGGTGCCATTGTAACTTTGAACGGTCACTAAAAGAATGGTTGTAAATTGAGGATTAGCTTATTTCATCCTTAACCTGGAACTAACCCTGTTTGGTTAGGAAGAAGTCTTCCAGATATTGCCCTTGGTGTCTTCTAATCAGTCTTCACTGTTAGTGACTCTCTGGACAAGTGCAGAGTAGTGGAGGAGGAGGAGGAGGAGGACTGTTGGGCCCTTGGTGTTGTTCTGACCCAGCCTTAGCAGAAGCAAGAAACAGACTCCTTGTCACGAAAAACCCTCTTTATTTGCCTCTTGTGAATTAATAGCATTCACCCACTGAAAAGTCCAGGCAATAATCCTTCAAGGAGTAAACTGCAGTAACAGACCTTATCAGTTCCTTGCAATAATTGCAAGGCCGTGAGCTCCCAGCCGAAAGTCTGCAAATTAAGTTCTGGCAAGCAGTCTTTGTGGCACGAAACACCATGAGCAAAATCTTCAGAAATCCGAACAGTTGTCTCCTACGACAACCACTCCCCTTTTCCTTCTATTTATTCCCCAGCCAGGGAGGGGCCATTCAGCGTCCACATGTGCTTTGCTTCCGGAGTCGACTCCTTGTCCTCTGTTGTTCTCCTCTCCTAACAGCTCTGCGCATGCGTGCAACTTTAACAGGCCCCAGCTGTTCTTCCTCCCCATTTGTCTCAGCTTCCGAAGACAGCTGCCTCTCCGGTGGCTGGGAAATGTCGGACGGTCCTGACTCTATCTCTGCATCTGACACAGAGCATCCATCAGAGCCTTCCCCAGGTTCTAGAACCGGCCCAAGTTCCTCCCCAACCTCCTCACTGTCCGAGTCTGCTGCCAGTTCCACTGGCAGTTGGTGGGCCACAACTGGTGTTATCAAAGCTTAGTTGCTACTGCAGACGTTTCATTACCAAAGTAGGTAACGTCATCCGTTCTAGAAAGGAGGGAGTTTGCAGAGTGGAGGAGGTTGATTGTGGGGTCCTTGGTACTCTCTTGGTTGTTGGTGATCCAACTGGGTCACATCATCAATATGTCAATTGTGGGGTCCTTGATGCTCTCGGGGAGTTGAAGTCCACCCATCCTAAAGTTGCAGAGGTTGTGAAACACTGCTCTAAGACATCCAACTATCGTTAAAGGAGACCCAAAACTTCCTCCATCTTTCTACAGCCTCCATTAATCATCTTCCTTCTTCACCAGGAGTGAATTTATGATGGCCATCTAATAAAATGAAATTCAATGGAGAAAAAAGCAAGGTTCTACATTTAGGCAAGAAAAACCAAATGCACAGGTACAGTATAGGTGGTACCTTGCTCAATAGTAGTAATTGCGAGAAGGATCTTGGCATGGACAACCATTTAGATAGGAGCCAGCCGTGTGCAGCAGCTGCCAAAAAAGCCAACACAGTTCTGGGCTGCATCAACAGAGGGATAGAATCAAGATCCCGTGAAGTGTTAATACCGCTTTATAAGTCCTTGGTAAGGCCACACTTGGAATGCTGCATTCAGTTTTGGTTGCCACAATGTAAAAAGGATGTGGAGACTCTCGAAAGAGTGCAGAGAAGGACAACAAAGATGATTAGGGGACTGGAGGCTAAAACATATGAAGAACGGTTGCAGGAACTGGGTATGTCTAGTTTGATGAAAAGAAGGACTAGGGGTGACATGATAGCAGTCTTCCAATATCTCAAGGGCTGCCCCAAAGAAGCGGGAGTCAAGCTCTTCTCCAAAGCACCTGAGGGCAGGAGGAGAAGCAATGGGTGGAAACTAACCAAGGAGAGAAACAACTTAGAACTAAGGAGAAACTTCCTGACAGTGAGAACAATTCATCAGTGGAACGACTTGCCTCCAGAAGTTGTGAATGCTCCAAGACTGGAAGTTTTTAAGAAGAGGTTGGATAACCATTTGTCTGAAGTGGTGTAGGGTTTCCTGCCTGGGCAGGGGGTTGGACTAGAAGACCTCCAAGGTCCCTTCCAACTCTTATGTTTTGTTATGTTTTGTTATGTTATGTTATGTTATGTTATGTTATGTTATGTTATGTTATGTTATGCCATGCCATGCCATGCCATGCCATGCCATGCCATGCCATGCCATGCCATATCATATCATATCATATCATATCATATCATATCATATCATATCATATCATATCATGCACCCCCGGCTCTTTTCTGCAGTCTCCCTCCTCTGTTGGGTTTCTTGTGGCGTGCTCTTCCTCCCTTACTTTCCACCTCTCCAGAATCCCTTCTTTAATTATTGAGCACCCAGCCCGTAAAGCAAGCTGTTTTAATTTTAGTTATTGTTTCCTTAATTGCAGATCAGGTTGTGAAAATGGGCCCCTGGGGAGGGGGGGGGGAGGTCTTCTGAACCACTGGCCAGCAACCCTCGATTGCTGATGGGAGCATTTAGAAACAGGAGGTGGATGCCTGACCCGCAATAAACCGCTTGCAATGACAAGGAGCTCACGGCAGCCCCAGTCGCCTGTCCGGCAGAGAGGAAACTTCTATCTGGGTGATAGAATTTCCTGAAAGTGTGAATGCTGGGTAGATGGTTCCCCAGGGAATAGAAGAGTGGGGTCCTTGGTGCTCTCTGAGCTTGGTGGTTTTCTTGTGGATGTTTCATGACCCAACTAGTTAACATCATCAGTGCTAGAATGGAATGGGGTTTGTGAGGAGGAGGAGGAGGAGGAGGAGGACAATGCCTGTGGGGTCCTTGGTGCTCTCTGAGTTTGGTGGTTTTCCTGCAGACGTTTCATGACCCAACTAGTTAACATCATCAGTGCTAGAATGGAATGGGGTTTGTGAAGAGGAGGAGGAAGAGGAGGAGGAGGAGGAGGAGGAGGAGGAGGAGGAGGAGGAGGAGGAGGAGGAGGAGGAGGAGGAGGAGGAGGAGGAGGACAACGCCTGTGGGGTCCTTGGTGCTCTCTGAGTTTGGTAGTTTTCTTGCAGATGTTTCATGACCCAACTAGGTAACAACATCAAGTCTAGAAGAGAGTGGGGTTTGCAGAGAGGAGGAGGAGGAGGAGAGGAAGTGGACTATGGGATCCTTGAGCTCTCTGAGCTTGGTTGTTTTCTTGCAGACATTTCATGACCCAATTAAGTATCTGCATCAGTGCTAGAAGCGAGGAGGATTGTCTCTGTTTATATAGAAGTGGCTTGCTCTGGTGGGAGCATTCTTGGTGATCCTTTGATATATTTGGTTTCCTTGCAGGCGGAAGAGATTGGCTCGTCTCTCTTCCACTCCCACAATTCCTGGATTCTATGAGTCCTTTTCTCCCAATCCCACCTCCTGTGTAGCAACCCAACCACATCAAAATACTATCATTAAGTACCAAAAAATGTATGTTGCTTGCAGGTTCTTCCCAGCGGAATCGATCAGTCTCTTCAATCAACAAGGTATAGTTAGGTACAAAATTATTTTGCTTTTTTTCTTTCTTTCTTTTTTAACACCTGCAACTGGTTCTCCTCCCAGAACTCCACCGAGTATTTCTTTTCTTTTTTCTTTTTTTTAAAAAATTCCGTTCTTAAAATAGTCAATATTTAGTTTCCAATCTCCATTTCCCTTGTTATCCACCTCGGAATCTAAAACCTCTGAAATGCGAATGATTGACGATGGACTGAGAAAAATAAAAAAATCCAGGTTAAAAAGTATAAATAATTCACATGCCGTATTAAACAGGGCAGAGGAGGGGGGAAAAAACCCAAAAGATCGACACGGGCTTTTATTATTAGCCAGGGGTGGGGGTGGGTCAAATTTAAATAAATGTAATATTTATTAAAAATTCTTCCTCTCTTTTTTATTTTGTGCTGTTACCTGAGATTCGTAAAACTTTTGAATTGTGTCAGTGTCGTGAACTCCAGATGATCTGCAAATACTTTGGATCAATGTAAACTACATCGCCTTATATTCAAAAGAAATATATATACATATACATACATACATACATACATACATACATACATATATACATACATACATACATACATATAACTTTTACACACAGTAGCCTCTGGCTGCGCCCAGTCTAGGAAAACGAAGGAACAGGGAAATGAGTCCACGAAGGAAGGGAGAAACAAGCAGTCCTGCAGACTCCAAATGTCTGTACTGGCACACCATCTCTACCAATTCAGCATTTGTTCCTGATAAATGTCCCTCCCCACAGCATCTCCTTCAATCTCAGTCCCCAGGCGTGCCTTGTAAAGAGGGGAGAGGCGCTCTCCTCCCAAGTTGTTGGCTCGGCCTGCGCTGTTCCCGCCTTCTCTCCACTCTCCGTGCTCAGGGATCAGGAGGCGGCAGTCCTTGCTCCTCGCCTGAGCTCCGTCGCTCCTCATGTCCATTGCTTATCCTCTCTAGGTCATGCGTCCCAATCCTGAGGTGCCTTGGGCTGCCTTGGCCTGCTCCTCCCCACATTCCTCAGAAGCCAACAAAGCCGCCCTCTCAATCTCCGTAGGCTCCAGCTCCTGCTCATCCTCTGCAGATTCAAGCTCCGATAGGGGGGTGGAGTGGGGTGGGGATGACAGCAGGGGTGAAATGCTCCCGGTTCAGCTTTAGTTGTTCTTTTTTTAGACCTAGCCATTTAAAGTTTAGGAAGTTTTAAATTTAGCTGCTTTTATATAAAAATAAAAATAAAATAAAATAAAATAATATTTGTGCAGCTTTCTGAGATTTAGTGTGTTTCTGTAGTGTTTCACTCTATCTACATAATCACACAAAATCTCACAAAGCTGTATGTGGAATTTTGTGTGTGTAAAGTGTGAAAGTTATTTTTTTTGAGCTTTTTGTGGCTGTGTGAGGTTCCTGCTTGTTGCAGGAGCCATTTTGGGTCTAGCACAGCTGCTTTTATATTGTGGGTGAGCCAGTTGTGTTGTGTTGTGTTGTGTTGTGTTGTGTGTATGTAAAGTGTGAAAGTTGGTTTTTTGGGCTTTTTGTGGCTGTGTGAGGTTCCTGCTTGTTGCAGGGGCCATTTTGGGTCTAGCACAGCTGCTTTTATATTGTGGGTGAGCCAGTTGTGTTGTGTTGTGTTTTGTAGGTTAAAAAAGGGCAAAGAAGTGACATTGACTTGGCCACGCCCACCTGACCAACAAGCCACGCCCTCCCAGTCACCTTACCGCCAAGCCCTGCCCACTAATTAAGCCACGCCCACATAACCGGTAGCAAAAAAAAATAGATTTCACCCCTGGATGACAGCAATCTTCATTTTTTTTTTTTTTTGCATTTTTAAAACAAGGGGCATTTTACATGTTTAACATTTGCATTTTGGTCTTGCATTTTCAAAACAAGGGGCACACAGAACTGCCATCGTCCTTTTGAAAAAGAGCTATTCTTTGATAACACACATGCACAAGACAGACACACACAAACACACAAATCTGTATGTCAAGAGGCCAGTTGGAACAAAAAACATGCATATTCATGAAACAATTTCCTCCCAGTCGGAAATTATTTGCAAAAACAGTGGGCATTAGGCAAAGCTGCAAACAAAAATGCAGGGTTATTTATTTATTTATTTATTTATTTATTTATTTATTTATTTATTTATTTATTTATTTATTTATTTATTTATTTATTTTTACATTTTTGGGAGAAAGAGACCACAAAATAAAACACATGGTTGCACGATTCCTGGTGTAATTGGAAACAGCAAGTCTGAATCACAGCTGCCATGTTGTGATTCCTTTGTGTGTTGTCGTGCCCAAATCTAACTGTTTCTTTCTGCTTTGGGAGTGGGGGGGGGCAGGGAAATTATTCAAGGGACTAGTTCAAGGGAGGGTTTTTCAAAACAGAAAAAAACGCTTTGCCACAAAGGGAAAAACAACAACAACAACAACAAGCCCTTGCTGGAGGTATCCTGGTCTGTTAAGTGTCAAACAGCATTAGGAGTTGAAAATTGAAAGTAGGGCACAGAGCAGAAATGGGATATTTCATGGTTTCTTTGCACAGATAGTCTGTGTGCAACCTTTGTTTTTCCTGCTATCATAGAAGTTGAGGAGACGAGGACGGTTGAATGGTTTCAAAATTATTAAATCTTAATTAAATTTGAAATTTCAAAATTATTATTTTTATGGTTACGCAAGTACTAGCACTGATGATGCGACCTAGTTGGGTCGTGAAATGTCTGCATGAAAACATCCAAGCTCAGAGAGCACCAAAGACCCCACAGTCCTCTTCCTCCTCCTTTCGCCCTCCTCCTCCTCCCTCCTCCTCCTCTCTTCAAATCCCACTCCTTTCTAGCACTGATGAGGTTACCTAGTTGGGTCGTGAAACGTCTGCAAGAAAACATCCAAGCTCAGAGAGCACCAAGGACCCCACAGTCCTCCTCCCCCTCCTCCTCTCTTCAAATCCCACTCCTTTCTACCACTGATGAGGTTACCTAGTTGGGTCATGAAAGGTCTGCAACAAAGCAACCAAACTCACAGAGCTTCAAGGAACCCAGAATTCAATCACGAGTTACAGAATATTCTCTTCTGGTTTAACCTCCGATCCCCTAATAATTTTTGTTACTCTCCTCTGCACCCTTTCTCCGGTCTCACTCTTTTATGGGGCAAATTCTGCTCGGTTCGCCATTTTCTCCTTCCCCTCCTGCTGATCATTTAACGTGCCAAAAAGAACTTGAAACAGTGGCACTTATTTCTTTTGTCTCTCCCAAATGAGGATTTATTCATTTATTCAGCAAGGTTAAGGACCCTGAAACGTGCTGTCAAGATCTTTTAGCTCCTCATTCTTTCAAACCTCACATCCATTATATACAGAAATCCTTTGCGTTCTTGTGATCTCTCCCTCTGCCCCTCTCTCTTCTTCTCTCTCTCTCTCCCTTTCTCTCACCCTCTCTCTTTCCCTCTGTCCCTCCCTCTGTCTTTTTCTCCCTCTTTCCCTCCCTCTCCCTCTCTCATCCTCTCTCTCTTCCTCCCCCTCTCTCTTTCTCTCCCCCTCTCCCTTTTTCTCATCCTCTCTCTCCCTCCCTCTCTCCCTTTCTCACACTTTTTCTCTCTCCCTTTCTCACACTCTCTTTCCCTCTCCCTCCCTGTCTTTTTCTCCCTTTCCCTCTTTCCCTCCCTCTCTCTCCCTTTCTCTCATCCTCTCTCTCCCTCCTCCCTCTCTCTCCCTCTCTCTCTCCCTTTCTCACACTTTTTCTCTCTCCCTTTCTCACCCTCTCTTTCCCTCTCTCCCTCCCTCTGTCTTTTTCTCCCACTCCCTCTTTCCCTCCCTCTCTCCCTTTCTCTCTCATCCTCTCTCTCCCTCCTCCCCTCTCTCCCTCTCTCTCCCCCCCTCTCTTTTCCTCCCTCTCTCCCTTTCTCACACTCTCTTTCCCTCTCCCTCCCTCTGTCTTTTTCCCTCTCCTTTCCCTCTTTCCCTCCCTCTCCCTTTCTCTCATCCTCTCTCTTCCTCCTCCCTCTCTCTTTCCCTCCCTCTCTCTCCCTCATCTCTCTTTCCCTTCCTCTCTCTGCCTTTCTCTCATCCTCTCTTTCCCTCTCTCCCTCCCTCTCTTTTTCTCCCACTCCCTTTCCCTCCCTCTCTCTCCCTTCTCCTCATCCTCTCTCTCCCTCCTCCCTCTCTTTCCCTCCCTCTCTCTTTCCCTCCTCTCTCCCTTTCTCTCATCCTTCCCTCCCTCTCTCCCTTTCTCACACTCTCTTTCCCTCTCCCTCCCTCTGTCTTTTTCTCCCTTTCCCTCTTTCCCTCCCTCTCCCTTCTCTCATCCTCTCTTTCCTCTCCCTCTCCCCTCCCTCTTTTTCTCCCTCTCCCTCTTTCCCTCCCTCTCCCTCCCTTTCTCTCATCCTCCTCTTTCCTCCTCCCTCTCTCTTTCCCTCCCTCTCTCCCCCTCATATCTCTCTTTCCCTCACTCTTTCTTGCTCTCCTTTCTCATCCTCTCTCTTCCTCCTCCCTCTCTTTCCCTCCCTCTCTCTTTCCCTCCCTCTCTCCCTTTCTCTCATCCTTTCCCTCCCCCTCTCCCTTTCTCACACTCTCTTTCCCTCTCCCTCCCTCTGTCTTTTTCTCCCTTTCCCTCTTTCCCTCCCTCTCCCTTTCTCTCATCCTCTCTCTTTCCCTCTCCCTCCCTCCCTCTTTTTCTCCCTCTCCCTCTTTCCCTCCCTCTCCCTCCCTTCTCTCATCCTCTTTTTCCTCCCTCCCTCTCTCTTTCCCTCCCTCTCTCCCTCCTATCTCTCTTTCCCTCACTCTTTCTGCTGCTTTCTCTCATCCTCTCTCTCCTCCCTCTCTCTCTCTCTCCCCTTTCTTACACTCTCTTTCCCTCTCCCTCCCTGTCTTTTTCTCCCTCTCCCTCTTTCCCTCCCTCTCCCTCTCACCCTCTCTCCTTCCCTCTCTCCCTCTTTTCTCCCTCTCCCTCTTTCCCTCCTTCTCTCTCCCTTTCTCTTATCCCCTCTTGCCCTCCTCCGTCACTCCCCCTTTCTTATGCTCTTTCCCTCTTCCTCTCCCTCTTTCCCTCGCTCCCTCCCTCTTTTTCTCCCTCTCCCTCTTTCTCTCCCTCTCTCTCCCTTTCTCTCATCCCCTCTCTCCCTCCTCCCTCTCTCTTTCCCTCCCTCTCTCTCTCTCCCCCCTCCCATTCAAGAAGATTTTTTTTTCAAGGCAAAATTTGCCAGTACAAACCTAATGGCGCAATCCATCTCTCCCTCCCTCCCATCATCACCTGGTTATAAAGTTATTCAGGAAAGATTGAAATCGCAGAATTTGTGTGAGGGAAAAGTTATTTCTCAATTGCTGGGCCTATTAATGGCTTTTGGAATGGACAAGTAAATAAGCCAATCCGAAAGCAGCTAATAGGTTTGAATCTACCGGGTTTTTATAGACCCACCCCTAACTGTCACAGTCGACAGTATAAAAGGAGATTCTTGACAGAAAACCGTTGGCAGTTCAGAAGGCAGTTTGGAGGGTTCTCTTCAGCTCTTCTGTTAGAAAACGGGGGGCAGTTTGGAAGTCAGTTAGAAGGGCGGTTCTGATGCCGTTTTGATGGTTTACAAGACTCTTTCTTCTGAGGAAGAATAGCCAGAACTAACATCGCTTAGAGCGATTACATATAATGTCACTACTACCTTTTTAAGGATATGTTTACAATTACACGGGAAGAAACCCGAGATATTAACTGTACACACACACACACACACACACACACAAAAACACACACACAGACACATATATATATCTGTCTTCTTAAGTTTTCGCGGGTGTGTATATGCAAAAAATTAAAATCTCGGGTGTTTTCCCGCGTCATGTTAAATAAGTTAATTAAAATGTTTAAAATTCTGATTAAAATCCTAGCTTAAAATCTTCTAAAAATCCTTACAGAGCACTCTGCAAGGTCCTTTAAAACCTTTAAAACCTTAGCTAAAATCCTACCAGAACCTTAAAAGTTTTTATTTTAAAAACTTTTAAGGTTCTGGTAGGATTTTAGCTAAGGTTTTAAATGATTTTGCAGAGTGCTCTGTAAGGATTTTTAGAAGATTTTAAGCTAGGATTTTAACCAAAATTTTAAACATTTTGATTAACTTATTTAACATGACGTTGGAAAACACCCAAGATTTTAATTTTTTGCATATATATATATATATCTGACAGGATATTTATTGTTATATTAATAAAAACATTTATTGTTAACTAGTTCAGAGGCTCATTTGTTAAAGTAGATCTTAATCGAGATAAAGGTTTACAGTACATTGATTTATTTCCTCCACTCGACAGTTTGGGAGAAAGCTTCTCCTAGCTGGACAAAAAGCAAGATATTATTTTATTGAGTTTTAGTGTCTCGAACAGCCCAGAACCTTCTGGAAGATTTTTGAATCTTCCAGCTTCAATCAGCAGTCTATAACGGATGAGAATTTCAGCCTGCTAAACCAGGGGATGTGCATTTAGCTGGCCACCTACATGCTAAAGTCTCCTTTCCTTTTCCTTCCTTCCTTCCTTCTTTCCTCCCTCCCTCCCCCCTCCCTTCCTCCCCCTTCCTCCCTTCCCCTCCCTCCCTCCCTCCCTTCCTCCTTTCCTTTCCTTCCCTTCCTTCATTCCTTTTCCCCTCTCCTTCCTCCCTCCCCTCCCCTCCTTTTCCTTTCTTCCTCCCCTCATTCCTCCCCTCCCTTCCTTTTCCTTCCTTCCTTTCTTCCTTCTTTCCTTCCTCCCTCCCTCCCTGCCTCCACCCTTCCCTTCCTTGTTCTCCCTGTTTTTCTTTTGGCAACGAGTCTAGAAATCATCAGTTAGAACCAGACTGAGAATCTCCTTCCACAAGGATCCCAGATAACCATCAGGACGTTTTGAAATCTAAAGCAGCCAGTTCTTACCCGGAGAGATGAATCCCAGTCTTGGGGAGTCACCCTTCTTGGCCTGAGTCGAGGGCAGAACCCCAGGGCTGCTGATGGGGCTGGAATGATGGAGGCATTCATGTCATTACAGCAAGGAACTCTTCTGGATTGGAGAAAGATGCTGGATGCTGGTGGAAGGCAACCCATAAAACGGTTCCAAGGGAAGCTCCCTCGGGTGCCATTTATCTCCAGCAAGTTGTTTCAGCAAGGAAGGTTTGACAAAGATGAAGAACGGAAGGAAGGAAGGGGAGTCAATGTGGCAGCTGGATCGCTCTGGAACCAACCGGGTATGTTGGCAGAAGTCTAGGTGAGGATGAGGAGGAGCGTTTGGAAGCAAGAACCTCCAAACCAGCAAAGGAGATCCGGGGCTCCACCTATTCTCCAAGACACCCGAAGGCCAGACAAGGAACAATGGATGGAAACTGATCAAGGAGAGATTCAACCTAGAAATAAGGAGAAATTTCCTGACAGTGAGGACAATCAACCCATGGAACAGAAGTTGCCTTCGGACGTTGTGGGAGCTTCATCTCAGAAGTCTTTTAAGAAGAAGCTGGACTGCCATCTGTCAGAAGTGGTGTAGGGTCTCCTGTTTGGGCGGAGCGGGGTTGGACTAGATGACCTACAAGGTCCCTTCCAGCTCTCTCCATCTGTTTAATCTGTTTATTTACCTTGGGAAGACTCTTCATGAATTATGGGAACCATGGAGCGGAGGACAAAATTTTGCCCCATTCCCAGCTGGTGTCTGCTGGCGATAACGGGCAAACTTTAGAAGAATTGATTATGGAGAACCATCCACATCCCACTCGCAGTTGCCAGGGCCTTGGCAGTGGGAAGAGGCTCCAGGTGTTCTTTTTAGGAGAAAAAGAGATTAAGAGTCAACATCAATCAAGCTTACGGCATATTCAAATGAGAAGAGGATGGATGATAAACGACCACCCACACCTGAAAGGGTCTCCTGAAGATTGCAGGAGGAGGAGGAGGAGGTGGAAATAAGGGACACTGGACAGAGCCATGGAATTAGAGTTTCAAATTGGGGAATTGGACCTTTCTCTTTCTCTCCTCTCCCTTTCTCCATCCTCCCCTCTTTCTTTCTCCCTCCCTCTCTCTCTCTCTCTCTTTCTTTCTTTCTTTCTTTTTCTTTTTCTTTCTTTCTTTTTCTTTCTTTCTTTTTTCAATCTATCTCTGTATCCCACTATCTCACTCTCTCTATCTCTCCTTCCCTTTCCTCCCCTCCCTCCTTTCTTTCTTTCTTTCTTTCTTTTTCTTTTTCTTTCTTTCTTTTTCTTTCTTTCTTTCCTTTCATTCTTTCTTTTTTTTCTTTCTTTCTTTCTTACTTTTTCTTTTTCTTTCTTTCTTTTTCTTTCTTTCTTTCTTTTTCTTTCTTTCTTTCATCTCTCATCCCACTATCTCACTATCTCTCTATCTCTCCTTCCCTTTCCTCCCCTCCCTCCCTCCTCTTTCTTTCTTTCTTCTTCTTTTCTTTCTTTCTTTTCTCTTTCTTTCTTTCTTTCTTTTCTTTCTTTCTTTCTTTCTTTCTTTCTTTCTTTTTTCTTTCTTTCTTTCTTACTTTTTCTTTTTCTTCTTTCTTTTTCTTTCTTTCTTTCTTTCATCTCTCTATCCCACTATCTCTCTATCTCTCCTTCCCTTTCCTCCCCTCCCTCCCTCCCTCCTTTCTTTCTTTCTTTTTCTTTCTTTCTTTCTTCTATATCTCTTCCCTCTATCCCTCTATCTCTCTATTTCTACTTCCTTTTCTCCCCTCCTCCCCTCCTTTCTCTTTCTTTCTTTCTTTTCTTTCTTTCTTTCTTTCTTTCTTTCTTTCTTCTTTCTTTCTTTCTTTCTTCTTTCTTCTTTCTTTCTTTCTTTCTTTCTTTCTCTCTCTCTCTTCCTCTCTTTCTCTCTCTCTCTTTCTCTCTCTTTCTTATCTTTCTTCTTTCTTCTTTCTTCTATCTCTCTCCCACTCTCTCTCTCTTTCTCCTCCCTTTCATCCCCCTTTCCTTCATTCCTTCCTTCCTCCCTCCCTCCTTTCTTTTTCTTTCTTTCTTATCCCACTATCCTATTCCCACTATTCCACTATCTTCCTTTCCTTTCCTTTCCTTCTTTCCTTTCCTTTCCTTTCCTTTCCTTTCCTTTCCTTTCCTTTCCTTTCCTTTCCTTTCCTTTCCTTTCCTTCCTCTCCTCTCCTCTCCTCTCCTCTCCTCTCCTCTCCTCTCCTCCACTCCCCTCCCCTCCCCTTCATCCCACTTTTCCCCCTCTCTTATCTACTGACCTCTTCCTTTCCTTTCCCCTTCATTCTTCTTCTCCTTTTCTTTCCTTCCCTTCCCTTCCCTTCCCTTCTCTTCCCTTCCTTCCTCCCTCCCTTCTCTTTCCCACCCTAGAAATCCAGAGAAAAATGTTCAGCAAATCGAAGATTTAACAGGGTTAAATAACAGTACAGCATAGTTGGAAGGGACCTTGTAGGTCATCTAGCCCAAGCAGGAGACCCTACACCATTTTTGACAGATGGCAGTCCAGTCTTTTCTTGAAAGCCTCCAGTGATGAAGCTCCTACAACCTCCGTAGACAACTTCTCTTCCATGGGTTGATTGTTCTCCCTATCAGAAAATTTCTCCTTATTTCCAGGTTGAATCTCTCCTTGTTCAGTTTCCATCCATTATTCCTTGTCTGGCCTTCAGGTGCTTTGGAGAATAGCTTGACCCCCTCCTCCTCTCTGGGCAGCCCCTCAAATATTGGAACACATCAGTGGTGGGATTCAAATTTTTTTATTACTGGTTCTGTGGGCGTGGCTTGATGGGCGTGGCAGGGGAAGGTTACTGCAAAATCCCCATTTCCTCCCAATCAGCTGGGACTCGGGAGGCAGAGAATAGATGAGGGCGTGGGCAGTCAGAGGTGGCATTTACCGGTTCTTCGAACTACTCAAAATTTCCACTACTAGTTCTCCAGAACTGGTCAGAACCTGCTGAAACCCACCTCTGGAACACATGCTATCATCATTTCAGACAAGTGACTGCCCAGTCTTTTCTTAAAAATCCTCCAGTGTTGGAGCATTCACAACTTCTGGTGGCAAGCTGTTCCACTGGTTAATTGTTCTTGCTGTGACTAAGTTTTTCCTTAATTCCAGGTTGCTTCTCTCCTTGATTAGTTTCCACCCATTGCTTCTCATCCTATCCTTGGGTGCTATGGAGAATAGAATAGAATAGAATAGAATAGAATAGAATAGAATAGAATAGAATAGAATAGAATAGAATAGAATAGAATTTTTTTATTGGCCAAGTGTGATTGGACACACAAGAAATTTGTCTTGGTGTATATGCTGTCAGTGTTGACCACCTCCCCTTTTGGCAGCCCCTCAAATACTGGAATATTTCTATCATGCCCCCCCACCCCGTCCTCCTCTAGACTAGTGGTACCCAAATCCTTCAACCGT